CGGGTGAAAACAGAAGAGGCCCATTGTCTTAAATCCGAGTCCATGTTTTTAGTTCAGGCCTGGTTCACCATGAGGTTCTTTTGAATCCAGAAATATTATGAGGATTATACCATTATACGGAGAAAGCTTTGCGTGTCGCTCGCCACCGGCCGAGTCCGCGAGACTGCCGACCGAGTCCCCGCCACCACTTCCAGAGTTCGAACAGAGTGGAGTCCCACGGTTCTCAAGTGGTGGAGGAAGCTCCGGATGGTGAAAAAGGGTATAATGAAATTTGAATTTTATGGGAGTACAGTAAGAAAGAAGGGAGGTGCGGTAAGAAACAGCCCGGTGATCACTTGTCCAAAGAGGCCCAAAGCAAAACGCATGGGTACTCTTCGTTCACACAGTGGTGGTGGAACTGAATGGAACGAGCATGGCAAAAATCACAGAACAATCTGAAATGGCGAAGCGCGGAACCTCTGATTCCGAATCCGACAACGCTTCGGTTTCAGGGTCAGAGTCCGAGGAGGCGCACGCGATGGATAATGGGAAGAAGTGTGTGACGGAATACGAGAAACAGAGGCTGTCGAGAATCGCAGAGAACAGAGCCAGGTTGGAGGCTCTGGGCTTGCCCAAAATGGCTCTCTCCTTGAAAAGTTCTCATCTTCGGACCGCTAAGAAGGGAAAAGAGAATAAGGTTAAAGAAGACGATGATGAAGAGTATTTACCCGAAGACGAGGGAGGACCCGGTTCAAGTTCTTCAAGTGAACATGATGAAGACCGTAAAGATGAAGACTTTGCAACTAAAAATTCTTCTGGGTCACGGAAAAGGAAGGTGGGTCTTCATTTTTTTTTATATATATAAATGCTGTTTTTCAGATATTATTTTGTTAAGTTATTCTAGAGTGTAGTTGTAGAAGTGAGTGTGTTTTAGGAATGTGTCAATTTTCTATTAAGTTTAAACATTAAGGCAAATTTACATGTTGCGAATAAGTTGTGTAACCATTGGAGCAGCAACACAAGTTGGCAGTTGGCACTATGAGAATGTATTCTTTGATGATTACAATAGGAGTGCTAGTAATACATGATTCTAACACATTCTCTACTATTGGTTAATAGTTATTTGAAACTGCCAAATACATAGAAGAGCTCATTAAATTATAGACGAGAACTTGATAATGTAGTGATTTCTTATAATTTGGTCATTAACAAAAAATGTATCCCAATGAGTGAAATTTGGTTATTGGGATTTTTTTCCCCCTAGTTTATTCCTTTGCAAAACTGAGTTGTTTTTGTTTAAAAAGATTTTTTTTGGTATTTTGATGTTGCCATTGAATGGTTTGATATGAACGAAAAGGTTTTTCGCATTGTGGGTTTTAGTAGTTATTGACTTATTGTGCTAGACCCTTGTCTTCTAATTTGAAAATTATTTTGACCTTTACATTTTCAATTCTTTTGCCTAATACCATCTTCAGGTGAAGAACAAAGGTTTGGAAAAGAAAGCCGGAGTCTCTGGGAAGAAGGATGTTGGTAATTCAGAGTACATTGATTATGATGATGATGATGATGAAGCTTTGAGGCAGGTAGTTTTAATGTTTACATTGTGCTGGTTTTGTTTGATTTACATCTTGATCATGTTGCTATGATGCTGTGTTGCATAATGCTATGAATAGAAGCATCTTAACTTTATGATGTGTGTGAATAATAGGCAATTGCTCTTTCCTTGCAAAACTCTGCCGAAGGTTCATATTTACCTGACCAGAATGTATTCAAGCTTAAGAAGACTGAGAAAAAGGGAAACAATCAAACTCAAGAAGATAAAGGAAGAAAGAAGAACAAAAAATCGGTTTGTATTGAATTCACTATTCAAATTATCTTTTTCCTTGTCTATAATTACTTTGTTTGTATTAAATCTTCTTTTGATTTTTGCTCTTTAACTGTTTTAACATGAACAGTTTGCAAGTCGGCTGCAACTAACAGAGGATGAGCTCATTGTACACTTCTTCCAGCTTGATGGTAATTTGATAATATCTGTAAGCTGTTATTTTTTGTATACTAATGACCAAGAATAACGGTTAGAGATCAATTGGGACAGCCATGCTGATGGACTTCTTTAATCAAGAAGTCAGTAACCCGAAAAATACACCAGACCCACTCCTCTGAATAACCTCTTCTTATTCAATGAAATCAAGAGTACAAATGTAGTGTAAACACCCCTAAGGAAGCCCGATCTCCCTCCACTGGACTAAGTTCCAGTCAACTCACAAAATACAAATTGAATGCCCTCGCCCTTTACAACTAACTTCCTTATTTATACTCCCCTTTCCCTCTAACTAATTTCTAACAGAAACTCTCTGCTTCCCGCCTTTATTTTTCCTCACATATACTTTTATTCCCCTATCAATACCCCCCTCCATCTCAACAATCTTGTCCTCAAGTTTGGAACAGTGAAGCTTGATCTCATGATTCCTCTTCATCATCGTGTTATCATATGAAGAGAGCCCAGTAACTAGTGTCCTCCAATTCCGGTCTGGAGGCTTGGGTGGTGGTCAATATGAGAGAATTATTGACTCCTTCTGTTCCATTAATAAGAACTGCTCCTTTTCCAAGATTCCCCTAGACCTCTTACCTTGTGGAACCCAAGTATTACACTTTGCTTCTGAAACTGTCTGCATTGCTTCCAGTCCTGAAGTTTCTTTCCTACCATCTTTGCCTTTCACCACTGTGAGTAATATAAGATGGCCAGTTAATGAAGATTCTGCAAGCAACCTGGAAATTCCTTTGTGGCCAATGCTAGAAGCTAGATCTGCAGGTTTTATAACCTTAGTAATTTCAAAAAATGGACTTGTAACAGCCCTAGTGGATGCACCCCTGGACACCCAGACCACAGCTAGGTCACTTCCTGACAACACTGCTTTAACCCTAGGCCTCAACAATTCTTCCCCTTTCTTCACTGTTTTGACATACCCACCACAACCTACCACTTTATCTTCACTAAAAACAATAGCTTTACTGGAAAATGGGTTGTTAGTGGGCCTAATAATGCCCAAGCCCAACATCTCCTGGACCTGCTTCTCTATTTCAGCCTTCAATAAGTGGGGATACTTATAGGGTCTCACGTTCACTTGTTCAGTGCCTTCTTTAATGGTTATCTGGTGGTCCACTCTTCTGACAGGAGGAAGTCCTTGTGGCACCTCAAACACCTTCTCAAACTCCCCCAAAATCTTCTCTAGATTCTCCTCTTGCATGGGGGTTAATCCTTCTGCCCCTGGGTTTTCCGCTGCTGTTTCAAATTGATGCAGACCCCACACCACCGCCAAAGTCTCAATCCTTGTCTCCTTCTGCAACGCCTCCTCGGGAGTGATGACTTTCATCATAGATTTGCTATCACCCCTTATCACTACCTCTGTTTCTGTTGGCCCATATTTCATGTTCATTTGCTTCCAATCCACCTTAATTTGCCCCAACTTGGCCAGCCACTCTACTCCCATCACGACATCGACTTCCCCCAGTTCAAAGAGATAAAATTCCTCTTTAATCTCCGCTCCCTCCAGTGTTAAAGAAATCCCCATGCAGTGGTCCTGCGTTTCCTTTCTCTGGCCGTCCCCCAGGCAAACGCGATATGGTGGCGTCTCCTCCCTCTCTAAACCCAACTCCTCCACTAGCCTCGTCGAGATGAAGTTGTGGCTCGCCCCACTGTCTATTAGCACGATAATCCTCCGATCTCGAATCCAACCCGACAATTTCATGGTGTTGGATTGTGTTATTCCCTTAGCTGAATACACCGACAATTCCATGCACCGTTGTTCCGCCTCCTCTTCTGCCTCCACCGCTTCTTTGTCGTCGTCATCTGCCTCCATAATCATCATCTTAAAACTCCTCTCCGCGCAACGATGCCCGGGGCTATAAGGACCCCCACAGTGAAAACAGCGGCCCTCCTCTCGCCTCTTGAGATATTCCGAATATGGTAGAGTTCGCACTCCGCGACTCGGGCTGCCTTTGCCTGTATTGCTTTCTACCTTTGAACTGACGATCCTGGTCGTCACTTCTTTCTTTGGACTGAGACCTCCGCCACTACTCCCTTGCCCCTCCGATGACCCGCAATAGGTCTCCGTTCACGCTACCGTGCCCGCGTTGGCCGCATACTTCCCCCACGTCGATCCTCCTTTCATTGCCCCACCACTGCCAGACATCCTCGCCACTAATCCTGATTGCTCCACGTCCCGTGCCCTTTCCATCGTGGTTAACAAATCGCGTGGATCGTAAGGTCTAACGAGATCCCTCAGTCCTTCTTGTAATCCAGCGAAGAAATACCCAAGAAGTTGTTCCTCCGTCATGCCCGCTGCCTGAGCCACCAGGACTTCGAACTCCTGTACATATTCTTCCACCGCTCCTCTCTGTCGCACCAAGAAGTTGTTCCTCCGTCAAAGATTGTTCCCCGATGTCTACCTCCAAACCTCCTGACCATTGCCTCCGTCAATGTCGCCCAGGTAGGATTCTTAACCTTCTTCCGCCAAAAGCGAAACCAATAATTCACTCCCCCTTCCATACAAATGTACACTAGCTTCATCTTCTCCCTTTCTGTCACATTTTGTAATTCGAAGAACATCTCTGCCCTAGCTATCCATCCCGTCGGATCGATCCCTTCGAAAGTGGGTAATTCTACTCTCTTCATCCAACTCTTTCGAACGTCGCGTTCTTCCTCGGATTCATCCTCCTTTGTATCCCTACCTATACGACCTCCATTAACAGAATGACTGCCTTCAGAACTCCTCACCTGGTTCCCTCTTCTCCCTCGGTCACGATTCACGTTTCAAGCCATTCCCCTCATCTCCGCTCGAATTTCCTCCAACGTCGCTTCCATGGCATCGAATCTACCCTCTAATGCACTCACCCTGTTCTCCATCTCGTCTCTCCTTCGATCTAGATCCGGCAGGTCGGACCAATATTGATGGACTTCTTTAATCAAGAAGTCAGTAACCCGAAAAATACACACAGAATAGACCCACTCCTCTGAATAACCTCTTCTTATTCAATGAAATCAAGAGTACAAATGTAGTGTAAACACCCCTAAGGAAGCCCGATCTCCCTCCACTAGACTAAGTTCCAGTAAACTCACAAAATACAAATTGAATGCCCCCGCCCTTTACAACTAACTTCCTTATTTATACTCCCCTTTCCCTCTAACTAATTTCTAACAGAAACTCTCTGCTCCCCGCCTTTATTTTCCCTCATATACTTTTATTCCCCTATCACATGCTTATTATATATGAGATCTATTATTCATCAAAGAGGAATTGTGATAGGATATAAGGTAATAAGATATAATGGGTTTAGGATAGAAGGAAGAGGAAATGAGAGGACGGTTAGGAGGGAAGAGTTGTTTGACAGTTGGTTAGTTAGTGGGAAGGGGAAGGGAGATTTTATAAATAGTGTGTGTGTGCTGTACAGGGGGTATGAGTCATTTTTGTACATTTGGGTATAGACTCGATATTTGTTCTAGTGGAGGGAGAGAGGCTTCCTTGGGGGGCTGATTTTTTGTACTTTGTTTCACTCATACATCAATAATATACATACTGTTTTGTGTCATTTTGTGTGTGCTTGAGAGTTGAGGAGTGTTGTTCGGCTTCTTGAAAAAAGAAACCTAACAAATTGTATGTTTTATATCATGCCCATATTAAAAATTGCACTTGTTGAGATGATCATAATTATGTGTAAGCCAAGCCATTCTGATCGCTTTAATTAAATGGGAAACAATTTTTTATTATTATTATTGATGAAGATCATATATCGACCTGAGATATATTCAAACTATAGTATATAAATCATTGTTGACCTCATTCTACAAGCCAGTTTTGTAAGATTGAATTAGACGTAGAAGTTCATTTTCTAAGATGGTATCAAAGTTTATCCTAACTAACAAGGTTTGTTAAACCTATTGTGTCACCCATTATTGAGTTTCAATCAAATCACCCTCAAATTTCTACTCCTTCGCTCTAGATGCACACTTTTTGTCTTGATAGTGTGTTGGAAATGTCATCAACTTGATATTTGATCAAATTATATAATATATAAATGAGTGCAAATTTCATCTTCTTAAGTAGTTTTGTAAGGATAAGTTAGGTTTAAAATTTATTTTGTAAGAGTCACTTTCAACTTCTTGGACATTTAGAAAAAAATAACTATTACTTTTACTAAGTTGATGTAATGGTCCGAGAAGCCACATTCTTGCTCATATAATGCTGTAATTGATTGTTGTTTTATAAGCTATCTGTATGACTCCCTTTGTTTGCACTATTAATTTGATTTTATGGGACTATTATCTCAGTGTGTAACTTCTTGCATATGTGGTGTTTGAAGTATGAAAGATTTATCATCAGTATAGATAGTTTTAAAATTCTGTTTTTCGGGTAGTGAGGTAAATTTGATCCAATATTTTCCCCTTTTCATTTTAAGTAAACACAATATACATAGTTTTAGCCATTATTTATTTCAGGTTTTTGTGAATTTTGTTAATGTACCGGTGAACAAAGAAGCTTTTTTCGCATCTATTTCTTTGCTTCTTTTATTTCATCCACTTACTTATTGACTAGGGAAGTTGTTTGGTGGCATGCAGAAGCTGGAAAAGGAACTTTAAATGTAAGGGATATACAAAAGGCAGCTACTGCGCATGATTTTTTATGGACAGACAAAGAGTTAGTTGATATGATCCGCTGCTTCGATAGTGATGGAGATGGAAAGGTAAGGAACACATGTTCTTTCATTGATTTTGTTATGTTATTTTGGCTGGAGATCAAGAACATTGAATAATCACAAGGCTTTATAACTTTCAATCTGAATTTTGATTGGTAATCACTAAATCTTGTAAAACAAAGAATGGCTAAAATCACAATTAACATAATTGAATTGATTGATAGAAAAATTCTTTATA